ATCAGCCTTCTATGTTCATCCTTGCCTGAATCAGTGATTTCATTTGGTAAAATGGTGATTTTCTAATAACTTTTACTTTTTTCTTCCATTCATTAGCTGTTATTCTCCTCTAAAGAAGAGCTTTTCCTCATCAAATGGGACAATTACAGTTCTTCCATAAAAAGTAGAATAAGTACTCAGTTCTATCTATTTAACTACCAATTTGCCAATTTTCTTTTTTTTTTCTTTTGCCGATTTTCAAAGTAAGGAGTCAAGGTACTAGTCCTGTGCAGTTGTGGCAAATTCTTGTTCTCATAGATTTTTGCATATTCAGTGTGTTGAAAGGAATTAGTCAGTATTTCTTGATGTTTAAACTATACCAGATTTGACCAGCGGGAGTCTCTTCATGCTGCCAAACTGGAAATGAAATGTAAACAAACAAACTTGTAATACTGTCAGGGGAATTGGAAAACTGGGCATTTGATGATGTAAAGGTATGATTGTTAATTGGGTAATGTTATTTTGATGATTAAAAAGATCAAAGAGTACCTGTTAGAGGTTCATACTGAGGTGTTTACTGATGACATAGGATTTACTCTGAAATCGTTCATGGGTAGAGGGAGGGGCGCAGTGGAGGGGACAGGAAGCGAGTGTGGCTGTGTGTGCTGTTCGCTGTACTGTTCTTTCTGTACAAGGCTGAAATTTTCCCCAGTAAAAAGTATTTAAATTATGAATTTGTGTTGATATTTGTAATTCAAATTTAACATCACAGGTTTTTTCTAACCTTTTTATTTTTATCTGTAAGGGCCTATTTTGTCTTTTTTTTTTTTTTTTTTTTCAAAAGATGACCGGTAAGGGGATCTTAACCCTTGACTTGGTGTTGTCAGCACCACGCTCAGCCAGTGAGCCAACCGGCCATCCCTATATGGGATCCGAACCCGTGGTCTTGGTGTTATCAGCACCGCACTCTCCCGAGTAAGCCACGGGCCGGCCCCTGTAAGGGCCTATTTTGAAGAAACGTGTGTATTTTCAACTTTGCTGATCTAAAGCCAAAATTTAGCTAGTATTAAAGCTTAGTTGCAGTGAACTGCTTTATCTACTCTATAAGTTAAGAAAGTTTAAAGCTTTTTAAATTTAAAATTAAATTTGAATAACTAAAAAGGACTTTTAAAAAAACCACATAGTTCCAGTATTTTTCCGTTCTTTTCCCTTTCTCTTTTTCTCTTCTTAGAAAGTGTTTTTAAAGCTTTTTAAAAAATTCTATATCGTTTTTCTGAAATAGTCTTTGTGTTTGTTTTGTTTTGCTGCTTTTTATTTTTTGTGGGATTTTTGGCAACTGTCTGGTACAGGTATCAAACCCTGGACCTTGGTCTTCTCAGCATCCTGCTCTAACCAACTGAGCTAACCTGCCAGCCCTGAAATAGTCTTTATTTTGTAAATAAATAAAATTTTGTTTTTGTAAAAAATAAAATTTTTTATGTGTACAAGTAATACTTCCTTCTCATAAAAAATTTTGAGAAATAACAATAATTAAGAATGGGGGAAAAATCACTTTTGTCTGCAACCTCATATAACCATGGTTCTCATAAATTTCTTTCTTTTTCCTAGTTTTTTTATTTGCTTCCTTATCTGAAAACACTTCTACATTTTAAAGTAATGTTTTCTATTGTAATATGTTGAAAATTTCTTAAACAGGGCACATTAGCTTTAATTTATAAATCCTAGGGGGAAAAGGTACATACTATTTTAAAAATTGATATACAAGGATACTTCCAAAAGTTCATGAAAAAATAGAATTAAAAGTTAATACAAATCTTTCCACGAACTTTTTAAAGTACCCTCATATATTTAGTAACATAACTTTACATAGACTTTGGGAAGAAACACCACTGTGATTTTGGTTTTTTTCTTAATTAATTTATTTTTTCTTTTACTCCTTTTGTTTACTTTTTTACTTTGTTTTTTCTTTAACACTGTGATTCTAGGCATGAAGTTTACTGGGGTTTATAAGTTCCTTATAGTCCGCTAGCATCTAGCACTCTGGTATGCAGAGAACACCTAGTGAAATCAGGGACTTGATGCTGCTGCTAGTTCTCTGATGATAAATGAAAAAATGTTGGTTTCTGATCTCTTTAGATTTTTCTGCTTCTTTTGGTTTGGGGGCTTACTCCACCAACAGAGATCTGACTTTTTTTGCTAAACAGTTGAATGTCTTAGCTATTTAAAATCCAGTTTACTCCCTTCTTAGAGCCTTTACGACATCTACAGCTGGAGTATCCAACTAGGTAATGACTGTGAACTAACTCATCTCGCTCACTGTGGATGAAACATCCAAGCACAGACCCTCATGTAGACCAGTGGACATTTGAAACACCAACTAGAGGGGCTGGCTGGTTAGCTCAGTTGGTTAGAGCGAGGTGTTGATAACACCAAGGTCCAGGATTCAATCCCTGTCACTGGCCAGCTATTAAAAAAAAAAAGATGAAGACAAGAAATGCCAGCCAGAGATGTGAAGAGCACAGTTTACCAGCGTTTGTGTGTACTGGTAGGAGTGACATGTCTGAAGGCCTAGAGGTCACATGCCAGCAGGCACCACCCTCCCTCCTTGGCTGTTTCCTGTGGCCCATACATTCATTCAACATATACATGTTGAGCCAGGCTCTAGTCTTTAGTGTTGGGGAATGCAGCAGGGAACAAAATGGACAAATCCTATCTTCTTCATGAAGCTTACATTCCAGTGAGGAAAGACTATGAACATATATGCACATAAATATATATAAATATATAATATGTCAAGCAATGAAGTTTTCAAAAAGGCAAGCATCGGATTTGAAAGTGTTGGGGTGTGCTATTTGTAGAGGGGTCAGGGAAGGCCTCACTGAGTGGGTGACATTTGAGCAGAGACCCAAAATAAATCAACCATGCAGCTGAGGGAAGAGTGCTGCAGGGAAAGGGAATTTCTGGGTGCAGGGGCCCAGAGGAGGGGTGTTTTCAGTGTTTATAAGTAACAGCAAAGGCCCGAGAGGTTGGAACAGAGTGAGCCAGCGGAAGTACATGGTTAATGTGGGCTGGGTTTCAGAGGGCATGGAGGCCATTGGGTGGGCTTGGCTTTCACTCGGAGTGAGATGGGAGCCCTTGGAGGGTTGAGAGCAGAGGAGGGAGCAGAGGACATGGTCTGACTTATCCATTTAAAAGGCTCACTCTGTGCCCTGGCAGTGATAAATCCTAGGGGGCAAGGGCAGAAACAGGGAAACTAGTCAGAAGGCCATTTCTGTCATCCAGGTGGGAGGAGATGGTGGTTTTGGAGCAGGGTGCTAGCAGTGGAGAAGGTGAAAAGCAGTTGGATCCTGGATATATTTCACAGGTTGAACAGTAGGTTTTCCTGGTGGATTGATGAGAGAACAGAGAGTCCAGGATAACTTTGATATTTTGACGTGATCAACCGGAAGGATGTGTTGCTGTTGTATGAGACAGAAAAGGCTGAGGGAGGAGCAAGTTTGGGGTAGAAGATCAAGAACCGAGTTTTGGACATGTTAGCTTTACGGTGACTATTACATATCTAAGTGGAGATGCTGGGTAGGCAGTTAACTACCAGTTTGGAACGTCGGGGGAGAGGTTGGAGCTACAGCTATGAGTTTGGGTGTTGGATATCATCAAGCTGGGGAAGGAGGGAAGTGAGAATATGCACATTCACCACTTTCTGTTCAATTTATCATATATTTATTTCATATCACTCATCAACATGAGGGGTGAAGCATCATGACAGGGGTAGGATCAGTGGGTTATACAACCCAGTGGGATCAAAGCCAGGGACCAGATGGAATTTCCAGTTGTGAACACTCCAGGTGATTCTCATGCAAGTGACACAGGGACCATTCTTCTCACCTCTTTCCTCTTTGACAAGTCACATCTCTATGAGCTCTTGGTTCTCAGTATTTCAGAGCATACCCTAGATGAGATGAGTGGATCCTCTCAACACTCTTTCAGCCTGCATGTCTGATTCACCAAACAAGTGAGAGGAAGGAGAGAGACACTTATTATGGTAGAGAAGCAATTAAAAAATCAAAGTGCCATTTATGGTGGATCCTCTCAACACTCTTTCAGCCTGCATGTCTGATTCACCAAACAAGTGAAAGGAAGGAGAGAGACACTTATTATGGTAGAGAAGCAATTAAAAAATCAAAGTGCCATTTATGAATACTTCACATTCAGTCTTATAACCATGAAGTAAAGCCAGTGTCACCATCCATGCCTTATGCTCAGTTGACATTTGGTAGTAATGCCTGCCTTGCGAGTGATCTTTAGGGTTTATGAGGCCGGCGCTTTGATTTATGTCAGGACATTTCCTTTCTTACAGTCTCAGTTCTTCCAGTGGGTCAGCTTCCTTCCTGGGGAGTCTCCTTTCCCATAATAGTGTTCTTATCTTTTGTATACCATCAGATATATTGACAATTGTTAATTATATTAAAAGCTTATGAATTGGCATTTATGAATCACCAGGCTTTTTATATACTGCATCCTTATAAATAAATCCTCAGGATGATATTTGCTTTTGGAATTGGCACTACACAATCCATGGGAAATATAGTCAAATGAGATCATGTATATGGAAGATGAAAATGAAAAACCAAATCAATGTGAAAATCTGGTTTATTCTAATAATCATGTGTGCTGGGGATTTGCTTTTGGAATTGGCACTACACAATCCATGGGAAATATAGTCAAATGAGATCATGTATATGGAAGACGAAAATGAAAAACCAAATCAATGTGAAAATCTGGTTTATTCTAATAATCATGTGTGCTGGGGACAATACCAATTAGTCTGGCCAGGGGCACCCACAGTCCACCTAATTGTTGTAAATTTCCTATGCATGGATCTGGTAGTCAAGAATAGCATTTCCATAACATTCACAGATGACATAGTCTCCACAGCCTCACACATGCCCTTCCATGCACCACAATATCAGACCATGGGAGTATGATTGAATCTTAATGACCTTTTCTCTCTTTTTTCTTAGGATGGCTGCTCTTTTTCTAAAGAGTTTAACACTACAGACCATAAAGACTAAAAGTAATTGTGTAGGAAGATGCTTTGGTAAACACATGGTGCAAAAGACAGCACCAGCACAGTTATCCCTTATTGCTTCTGACCCAAGACTGTCCTACCTAATTCATGCAAAAGCTTTTAGTACTGCTGATGATCCCCAGGATGAAAGAAGGAAGAAAAAAGAGAATGAAACAGATTTTAGTAACATCGGAAGAAAAATTCGTGAGCGAATTATTCATGTACTTGATGAGAAGGGCAATGATTTGGGAAACATGCACCGAGCAGATGTCATTAGACTCATGGACGAGCACAACTTGAGACTGGTCCAAAGGAATGCCAGCGCAGAGCCTCCAGAATACCAGCTCATGACCGGAGCCCAGATCTACCAAGAACGCTTAAGGCTAGTAGAGAGGGGAAAGGCAAGTGGGAAAGAAGGTAGGTATTTTGCTGTTTGTTCCCTGAATCCTGTAGGACTACAGACCAGCAGTTTTCATTGTGGCGTTGCCAAGGTGCACGTGACAGTGGGGAAAGAAGAAACTGGAAAACTCATGGCTTCATCACCATTCTCAATGTCTTTTTTTCTCCTTCATCCTTCAGTTGTTTCCATTCTTTTTTTCCCCTTGATACCCTGTGTCCATTATCTCTTCCTTTAACCCTGTGTCAAATGAAGGTAAACAAAGTGAACACTCCAGAACGGTGGACACGCTTTTGCCCTGTGTCCTGTAGCTTTGTGTCCTGATGCAGTGGCAAGCAGAGGAATGATGCACGTCGTGAAATGAGATTCGCAAGAGATGTGTTCAAGTTCCTTGTGCTATCCGGGTCACTCACTTAACCGCTTTTTTTCCTTCTTCATCTCTAAAGTGGAGGTGTTTAGTTAATTATACAGAAGCGCCTTTTAAACCCTGAAGTGATTCATAGAGCATCATGCCAAAGCATTTTGTCACAGTATTGGTACTGACACTCATTGACATATTTGGCCAATCACCTTATGAGGTACTTGTCATTTAAGCCCCTCACACAAGCCATGCCTTTTTTATTACCTAGTAGCATTATAAATTTGACATAGGAAAATTATCAGTCTTTGCTTAATGGAATCCTTCCCTTATCCTGGGTCACAAACTCTATCGCCTTTCCTTCTGTTTGTTTTAAAGTATTTTTCACCTTTAGACCATTAATCCACCTGGGGAGATCTCACTTTTTTCCATCTGAAAACTCTCAGTTGTCCCAACACCTTTGAGTAGCCGGTTTCTTCCCTGTAAAATAATGTGCTAGTAGGCAGGACTTGTGGACACAGAGTGAGCGAGCACAGGATGTAGGGAGCTTCCTGTCTGATGCAGTCTGTGTGGTCCCATAGCAGCAGGGAGAGCATCAGAGGGAGCGGCATGAGAAGAGTGCTCCCCAGCCATGGGCCCACGCCAGAAGGAAATGAGGAAACCAAGTGTATCACAGAGCTAAACTTGATCCTTTTAAACAATCATTCTTCTAGCATTCTTTCATCAAATGATGGTAACAATAAAGGGAAGCATTCGGATTGTAAATACCCTTAATTGGCAAGTAAAAAATTGGCACCTGTATGTTTCTCTCCTCCATTTAAAAAAAGCATTTACTGGTCTGTGAAATCGAATCAGATGAGAGGACCGTGAGGTGGCGAACTAAGGTTTTATGATGTGTATGTGGGAAAGTTCAGGTTTCAAGTAGACTAGTAAATAGTCCTGGCACCAAATTTCACTGTTTCAAACTAGGACCAACTGTGATAAAGGAGGTAACTTTTTCTTCAAATATTGGACAACATGATTTGGACACAAAGAGTAAACAGATTCAGCAGTGGATTGAGAAAAAATACCAAGTTAAAATTACTGAAAAGAAAGGGAAAAAGGTAGACGAGCCAGATAATAAAATGGTAAGTAAAAGCAGGTATGAATTACTGCTTGAGTTCTTTGTTTTCTGATCTAAAAATACAACTGTAGAGAATCTGGAAAATTTAAAGGCAAAGAAAAGTGACTGGTAATTATACTACCCAGTGATGAAAGCTTTCCAATTTGTTTTCCAAAATGCAAGTAAAATGTATATACATTATTTATTACAGCATATTTTGCCATATGAAAACATTTTATCATATAAAAGGTTTATACTATTGTTTTATAAGTTATAGAATATCTGTCCTTGAACAAGAAGTAAGATTCATCTCGTTTCCTCTTCATAAGTGCTCATGAGAAGTCTCATAGTCAAACTCTCTTCCAGAAAGTAGGTATCAGTTGACAATTTCAGGATAAGTTTGTGGAATATCTAATTTGCTTTTAAAAGGTAGATAACTTTATCATCCACTAAAGGCAGCATTAATACAGTGGTCTTGAACCTAGCTCCACGTTAGAGTCACTTAGGCCTAGCTAGTTCCCAGCTCAACTGACTCAGAATTTCTGCAGCCTAGGTCTATGTTTTTTTAATCACCCAAGTTATTCTGTGTTAGTGAGTGTTAGAGTGAATGTTGGGAACTGCACTGGGCTAACATTTTTGGTATAAGGAGGTACTTTGCCACTGTCCAAACTCAGTGCTTTGTACCTGTTTTTGGGAGAGGGTAGTCTGGGACCAAATATAGCCCCTTAGAGCTGTCACAGAATGGAGAAGTAAGACTATCAAGCCTTCAGTATGTTAATTCAGTTACGTGGAGTACAGATTTCAATCAACTTAACCAAACATGTATGAACTGATTAGCTACTCAAGTTGCAGCAATTCAAGAATGCTGGTTTTTATGACTGTTAGACCATTAATGCTAGAAAGCATCAAAGACACTGATTTTATACTAATCTTTGGCTGTTTTCCTTTTTTAGGAGGAGCTATTTAATCAAATCCTCCAGACTATGTCTGGAATAGCTACTTTCTCATCCAGGCCACAGGCTATTAAAGGAGGAAAAGCTTTAGTGTGTGTGCTTCATCATTTGAGCAACAAGGAAGAGAATGCACATAGAGAAACTCAAAAGACCAAGAAAAGAGACACTGTGAATAAGGAAAATGGAACTGATGATAAGGAATCAAATATTCTACATCAATGATTTTAATAAAGAAGAATCAGCCTCTGAGAGAAAATAACTGAGCTCACTGGCCTGCAGTCCTTTAAACAAAGCAATGTGGTGTTTAGTTGAGGGTAAGTATTGCGACTGTAGAGAGCACGTTGTCTTCCTTACAGTTCAGTGACTCTCCGTTTTGAGGCAAAGATAAGCTTTGCTCCTGTTTCCTTTTAGGAGGGATATATCCACTGAGACGAGAGGCCAAACTCCTTTTTTCACGAGATGGCTTTACCTTTGGGCATAAGGAAGATAGACAATTAGAATTCAAAATCAAAATTATCTGAATTAATTTTATAATACATAGTTATTTGCTCCAAAAGGTATAGTATACAACACTCCATTATAAGAAATTCACGTCTTCAATGTAGTGCAGGCTCACTCAGTAAAATAGTTGAAAATATTCCAATAAGACTGTACTTGGCTTTAAGCAGTTTTTGTTTTAAATCTAACTGCTTGCCTAAGCAGTTTCAACTTACTTTGAGCTTCATTTTCTTCTTGTCAGGATCATGCACAACAGCATGCCTCGTGAGACTTTGCTACAATGAAGGAAAAAGAAAAGTTTTATTTTAAAAACATCAACATTTGGTGTCTACTAATATGAAAACTCCACAAGTTATTTAAATAAACCATCAACCTTCTTTCTGTTATGTGCCACTGAGGGGTTTGACCCTACCTAAAAGGACTCCCCCACCAGAACTAAGGAAAGAATTCTTTCTCAAATCCTGGACTTAAATCACTATCTTTTCCAAGGAATCACGTTCAGAATTTATATAATCCCAACCACCTATGGCTTCTTAGTTCTTTCATAAGTAAGAAGGGAAAAACAGCTCTAAATGAACTATTCCAAACTGAAGGAGGTTTATGGGGGGGGTTTTTTGGGGGGGGGGGGTTGGCGGCTGGCCAGTCTAAAGGAGTTTTTTTTTTTTAAACGGAATATCTAAACAGTGTTCCTAAATACCGATGGAAAATCTGGCCAGTGTCCTGCTAATCTTGACAATACTGCTGACCACCATTAGCACAGCTGTTTTCTAATGGTCTGGACCCATAGCTGAGTGAAACTCACTTCTGTCTTCAGTTTCAATTATAATTCATGGTAAGCACCTGTATGACCACCAACCAGAGTGAGGGCCTGCAGAACTGCGCAAGCCCCTCCATGGAGTGGCATGTTCCTACCTATTTGAGTCATCCTGAGACCTGGACTAGATCCTCAAAGTTCTATGGTCCCTCATTTCCTTGTCTGTTTCCCTTCATCCCTAGGTGATGATGGCCTAAAAGGACACCCAAAGTACAAGCATACTCTTAGGAACAGTAAGTGTATGATACCAGAGCCACTGGTTCTTGCATTTAGCACACATACAAATCCCCTGGAGGGTTTGTTAAAACAGATTCCTGGGTCCCACGCCTCAGAGTTTCTGACTCAGCAGGTCTAGATTGGGGCCTGTGAATGTGCATTCTAACATGTCCCAGGTGGTACTGATGCTCCTGGTCCAGGGCCACACTCGGAGAAGCACTGGCCTTGGCAAACCTGGCTGTTCTGCAGACTTTAGTTAAGCACTGCCCAGCTGAGCAAGAGTGCAAGGTGTGTCTGGAGCCCTGCTCTCCCAGCCTTCCCCATCTGCAGGCCCTGGATCCCAGTGTGAAATCCAGGGCTCCCAGTGTGAAAGCTGCAGCCTAAAGGACTGCATGTGAGGGTGAGCACTTACTTTCATTGCAAATGTTTTGCCACAGCCAGCATGTTCACACACAAATGGGCGCTTTTCCTCATGAAAAGAGAGAATATGGCTCTGGAGGTTAAACACAGTTGTGTAGGTTCTACCACAGCCTTCTCTTGGACATCGACACACATCCCTTTCTAGGGCATGAGTTTTCATATGTTGCTTAAGGTAATCTTTGCGTTTAAATGTTTTCCGGCATACTTCACATGTTATTTCCTCTAGTGGAGTAGAGAAACAAATTAACCAATTTCCCCAGATATTACCATATCGAAAAAATTAATACTGAATATGTAAGTAACTTACTCAGTACCTAAAACTATGACTACACACATATCAGAAATTTCCAAGGAAACTCTAACCCCAGTTTTTACTGCTAGAAAGTTTGTCTCAGTTCTCCTAAGTTCTTACATAAAGTCACTGGTCACGTCCCAAGGAGCAGGAGTTCTTAGCATGGTGGCTGTGGGTAGGCAGAGAAAATGAAATAAACCAGTTTCATTCCTTTTCATGTCCTCCAGTCCGTAAGGCACTGGTTCCCAAACTGTCCCACAGAACACTAGTGCCTCCTGAGAGTCCTTACTGAAGACTCACTGAAGCCTTTAAACACACTCAGGGTGCACGGCAGCGGTCACTCTGACACCTGGCCTAGCTCTGCTCATCTGTCAAACAGCCGAGGGACCCAGCACTTCACAAAACATAATACAGAAATCCTTTTACTTTAGAACACATATTTAATGTTTCTCTCTCTAAAAGCACTAAGTCAGTTCTGTAGGAGCAAATATTTCTACCACGACATTCATGCCTGTCTTACCTTTATGGGTTTCTCTCACATGTTTCAGAAGTTCTGTCCAGGTTTTTGCCACAAAGGAACATCCCTTTTGACATATATAGCCTATTAAAAAAAAAAAAAAGATTGGTATATTGTCTACTGTGAATACTTTGAGTACTCAGTGTGAATACCAAACAACCAGAAAGAACTTCCATGCCTATGTCATTTTTCTCCTACCTCACAAGAGTATTCTGCTGTGTTAGTCTCAAGAGGTGGAAGTTAAAACTAAGAAAGGTTTATGTTACTGTAAAATCTGACAATTGCCTAGCAAGGTGCTTCTTACCAGGGTTTTACCTTAGCAGGCCTCACAGAAGGATGCCTTTCCCTCACCCGCTGCTCTCAGGAAGTTGGGCGTACTGTGTATGGACTCTGGGCTATTTTAATTCCCCACTCTATGTCTCATGTTCCCCTTCCCTTGCCTGCTCTATGCTTGCCTCTTTTTTCCTCAGCAACAGTCCTTTGTCTTGCAGACCACCAACACTAAATCTCAGTAAGTTACAGTGCCACCCCCAGCCCCGGCTTCCTCTAGTCTTGCCATCTTTTAAGTTTCATACTGTAAAAAAGAAGCTGGACACAGCTAAGGAAGTAAATAACCTTGAAGAACCCAGAGAAAAACACTGTGAACAAAACTGGAAATTGTGCAAAGCACTAGAATTGAGCTAATCATCAATATAACAGCCAGGCTGAGTTTCACCCACTAGAAACTTAAAAGAATGAGGCTGCCTCTCACTCAGCTACTAATCTCCTGTTTAAAAAACAAAACAAACAAACAAAAAAACCCATAAATTCTAGGGCATGGGAAATTGGAATACAGATATTAAAAATCCGTCATGGAAACAGATAATAGATTCAACTAGTTAATGTAAGGAAGTCCTTTTTAAAAAAAAAAAGTGACAATCTGATGGCTGCAAAAATGTCAAACAGTTATCCAAGCCCTGTGAATGGCTGACAAGGAAAAGAACAGCACGGGCAGTAAACAGAAGAGGTTAAAAACAACATAAAGACACCATGCCTGGGCTGGAGCACTGACAAGCTCTTACATGCAAAGTGTGAGCAGGGGTTTGCTGTGAATGATACACATGAAGTGTGAACACCAGTGGAAGAACAGACATAGGTGGTGCCTCTTTGGACAAGACTGTAAAGCCTGAGTGAGCAGCATGGTATTCCCCTGGCCTATATAGTTCCTGTCTTCTCAGCATGACCACGGAACAGACCGGAAAGCACTGAGTGTGCTTTGGTCATGTCACTCAGGGTGAGCACACACAGGGCTGTCCATACATACCCTCATGGACCTTCCCATGTCGCTTCAGATGGCTGGGTGACGCAAAGTGCTTCCCACATCCCTCCTGGGTGCACCTGGGTTATAACAGATGTAGGATTAGCCAATCCACCTTCACCAGGAACTCTCCTTAGGGAAAGTGGCACTCTGCCTTATTTCTCTCACCAAGTCTTGCCTCTCCCACAATCAAACCAGTCATACAAAACAAGATTTAAAATGTAGACCTAATAACAAGTGAAATTTAAGTCATTTGACCAATCTTGCGGCAAAACAAACTGTCTGTGAGAACAAAGTCACATCTTTTGCTTATGTGACCAATTTAAGCACCGTTTTTATCTTTATACCTCTAAAAATGTACTGTGCTTTCATGGCTACAAAGAGGTACTTCAAGAGGTATCTGACTTGGCTTAGGCAACCACCTAAGCCATTCTGAACCATTTGTATCTAGCTTTTCTGCTGATGCTGCACAGGATGTGTGATAAGAAAACAGCAGCAGATGCACCAGCCTCAGGTGAGCAATAAAAAGCAGGTGCCATTTCTGTGCTGAAGCCATCAGCAGCACAAGAACAAGCCACAGACCTGCAAGCAAGAGCAGGCACTGTCGCTGCGGCAACTCTGAGGCCCTGGCCAGCCACAGTTGCACAGAGGCTGCCGCAGGCACTCTTTAAGCAGAGGTGGCAGATCCCTCAACGCCCTCCCTGGGGCTATTCCAACAAGTCCAGCACCCTTTCATGTTCCTTAGGAAACCCTCTCTAACTGCAGGCTAAGCCCAAGTACTCTTGTTTTGTTCTATAGAGAAAGAATAATTAGTGTCTTCATAATGACATCTCATATAATTGAACAAGCTCTATTTGAATAGCTAAGATATTTCTTAGCCTTCCCTCCAAGCTTAACCACGATCGTAATAATCTCACAAATTATTTTAAAACACATTAAATATTTCTTTTAGAGAAACACCAAAATTAAGCTTTTAAAATGCTCTGACATAAAAATGGGCATACACAGTACACATTAACAGAAAAACACTGATTAGGAAACTACTTCAGAACACTTGTTCCCAACCTCCGCATTTCAAGATTATACCTAGAATTTAAGAGATTTTCAGAGACATGAAGTACCTACTTGAACAGTGGTTCACTGTTATGCTGGCACTGATGAATTTTCAGCTGCTGATGTTTCTTAAAGGTCTCCTTACAGCCTTCAAAATTGCACTGTTTAGTATAGGTTTATTAGTCTTGAGAAAAATCAAAGAATCAACAATTCATAACAATCCTCTCAAGGTAAACAAATTTTGAAGATTACATAATTGCTACTTTTACACATTTAGTTACTATAAAATGCTACTTTATGTCAAGAAGCTTTAAAGAATAATGACATTTGAAAAAGCAAGAATGTTTCAGTTGGGATAATCTCCTGATAATACACTTTAATTTGCACAATAATGTTTGCTTCCAAAGTAAAACCTTTATGATTATGACAGCCAGTGTCATGCTAAATTCAGATATTTGGCAGACAACATTTGGTTGATGAAACTTTAGAAACCTAGGTGTTAAACATAAAAATATTCAGAAAATTTAAGCATATAAAATCATTATACTTACTACATATTGTTTTTGCTGATTTTCATGTTTACGTTCAAAATGTTTCTTCAAGTTTGATTTTGTGTTGAATTTTTGATCACAGCCAGTAGCTGCACAACTGTAAAAAAGTGTATAAACCAAAATATTAATCAAGGGAAGTGTGTATTCTCCTACTTTATAAAAGCTAATTATTCCAAAGAATAACATAAAATAGTCTTCAGCAAATTCCAAACTGTTAAGCCATACCATGTAGGCCTCTCAGCTTTGACGTGACTATCATGTAACAACATGCTTTTTCATGTTAGGCTTCTGAAATTAAGCACACTACATCAGACATTCTTTGTACTCTGGGCAGAAGGGAAGGTGAAAAACACTAGTCCCAAAAGCCTAAACCCTGCTCAGGTTTAAATCAGGCTTATCTTAAATTATTCTCAGTTTACAATCTGATAATCTTAATTCTGCTTGAAATGTCACTATAAATGACATTTCCAAAAAGACCTCAAAAAAACTGATTTCAGCTTATCTTCAAAGGTAAAACAGATACAACAGAACCCAAAATCATTACGCCCTCTAGCACATCACCAGGCCTTTCTAGTTCCCTATCTTGGCATCCTAGCAAATGATCTAAATCCTTTGTGAAGCTTTTCAAACAAAAATGTGCTTTTTGTGATGAATCTTCATAAGCCTGAGGATGAAGCAGGATTTCCTTTCCAAGCCTTGATCTTAGCTATCATTCATTAATAACACTGAACAAAACTTCTGTCAGGCACTGTACTATCCCCAGGGCCAGGTGGGGAAAAGACAGAAACCAGGAGTCACAGTGACAGTGAGAGAGGTACAGCACTGAGGCCCACATGGGAGAGGTGCTGAGGCAGAGACCATGAGAAGCCCCCCTGACTGCAGGGACAAATGCCAAGTGTCAGCTGGGCAGGTGGCCAACAGGAAGAGATGTCTCCAGCCTCCCTGGAAATTAGGAGTGGTCATGTGGCAAAGTCCGGCCCATCCTACTCAACTCCCACAGAGTCTCTAAAAAGGGGGCACACCTCTCTTGCCCCTTCTTCCTTTCTGCCGGCTGGCATGCTCATGCTACAGCTGGGGCTCCAACAGCCATCTTGGACCATGAGTTTGAAGCCCTAAGATGAGGATGGCAGAGAGACGGTCCCCGATGACTACAGATCAGCCCCAGACCCTCCACCTTGGCATTTCAGCACTTTAGTTACACAAGAGAAAAAGAGCCTATCTTCTCTGAGCTTCTCTCTCTCATGCTTCGTTTCCCGTCATTCTTGCCTCTAAATCTGACACAGGCATCTAACTCGACAAAAGTGTGGGGCAGGGGGACAGGGCCAGGAAGAGTCCTGGTAGGAACCAAAGGGCAGGTGCAGGGGCATGAAAGACCCTGGCAAACTCGGGGGTGGGAATGTTGGTTAGTTAAGCATATAGCCGGACAACAATTTCATGTCTGAGATGACACACTAAGAACTTGGACTTCATTATGCAAGCAGTGCTTAAAACCACTACCCAGTCTTAAGAAGGGAAGCAACTCAGAGGGTTACGTGGGAGAGGGCCAATCTGCAGACAGAGAAAAAACTTCAATCATTCAAGTGAGGAGTAAGGGCCTGAGATAAGATAGTGCCGGCTGCAGTAGGGGAGGGTCCTGAGGAGTAAGTGACAGGGCCTGCTGACCTGTTCGTTGCAAGGGATGGGAGAGAAAGATGAGGAGTCCAGGGAGCTTCCTTATCTTTGCTGTGGGTCACTGGACAGACAGACAACCCAGACAAGAATGGGGGAGGAGGAGCCCAAAGAGAAAGATGAGCTCAGTTTGGACTGTGAGGAATTTTGGCCATGTGGAATTTAAGAAGCCACAGAGACAGTCAAGTAGCACTGTCCAGCAAGCAGCCGAATATGGGGATTCAGAGCTGGAGAGAGAGAACTGGGCTAGAGAGCGCAAGCTGGAAGAGATCACTGGCCAGTTGTCCCAGCGGGAATAACCTCCACCTTTCTATTTCATCCCGTGCCTCTGTCAGCAGTCCAATTTCCTCTTTAAGATTTTTATAATAGTGTACAGTCACTTAGTTCCAAAATCAAGATGCATAACAAGGGACACGGCTGCAGTGTTTCCTCCCACTCCTGCCCCATCCAGCCTGTGTTGCCCCACTGCTCCCAAGACAGATGCCAGCATTTTTAGTTTTGTAAGGTATAACTTTTAGGATTTCTTTATACAAATAGGAACAAATACAAATACAGCTTCTATCTTCTCACCCAACCTTTCTTTATACAAATAGGAACAAATACAAATACAGCTTCTTTTTTCCCACCCAACCTTCCTTTATACAAATAGGAACAAATACAAATACAGCTTCTTTTTTCCCACCCAACCTTCCTCCCCTGCTTTTTAACACACAAAAAGGCAGCCCTCTATAGAGGAATCTGCTGCACCTTGGTTTTTCGATTAATACACCCTGGCAGTTTTCTCATGGTTTCACAGACAACATCTGCATTCATTTTTCTAGCTGTAAAGTTTTTGACTGTGTTGATATACTTTAACCTGTCCCTGCTGATGAGCATTTGGGTTGACTCCAACAGTTTGCAACTATTAAGTATTGCATATAGCCTTGGACATACATTTTCTGCAGGCATAATGTATATGTAAATTCCCTAGAGTGAAACTTCCCGAACAAGACTATATCCCAGCACTATTTTGCAGACTTCTTGGCTGGTCCAGTTAAACTATATTTTGAAATAAGTTCAGCTGCACGCTGGGTCACTGACGTTGACAACATGCTGCACTCTGGCTCACAGGGAGTGAAATAAACGCGCCTGCAGGCTGGGTACCCTGCGCCCTTCCTGCTGCCAAGCACACTGATGAGATGGGCCTGACTGACTCGGCTGCCACCACGGAGGTGGCTCTGCATGTAGAATATGACAATGAAGTCAGTCCTGTGTCAGAAATTCACCTTCCTCAGACTACTTGGACCTTAGTGAAACATGAGATACTTTACATTATCATCTTAAATCTAAAAGAAATCCAACTCAGGTCATTAGAAAACCTAACTGCCTAAAGAATTGTCTCATGGAACAAGATTATGATATTAATTTTTAACATCTGAAAAAACTGCTATACAGCTACTTCCTGATATGGTCTACTGCATATAGTTCTGCACATCTATTACAATTATTTTCAATGAAAAGTAAATGTTTTTGTTTTTGTGGAACACTTTGGTTAGTGTGGAAGTCCAAGCAGCAGCATCACGTGAGAACTGATGCAGATTCTCAGGCCCCACCCCACACCTACTGAATCAGAAGCTCTGGGTGGATTCAGCAGTCTGTGCTTTAATAAGCTCTTCAGTGATTCCAATGGACTCTAAATTTGAGATCCATTCTCCTTTAAAGTAGCTGATAGGAAAGCATTATCTCCACACTTTCAGAAATAATCAGCAACTTGTAGAAGAATAAAATTAAATCTTTGTATGGTAGGGCCGGCCCGGTGGCGCACTGGAGAGTGCGCCGCTTGGGAGCGTGGCGGCGCTCCCGCTGAGGGTTTGGATCCCATGTGGAGACCGGTTCCCGCTCACTGGCTGAGCGCGGTGCGGGTGCAACACCGAGGGTTGCGATCCTGTTGCCGGTCCCCAGTATGGGCGCGACACCGAGGGTTGCGATCCCATTACCGGTCAGTAAAAAAGACAAAAAGGAAAAAAAAAAAATCTTTGTATGGTAGAGGTGTGAAGGCTTAATTCTAAGAAATACAAGATAAACTATTAGAAGCTCTACTCCTCCATGCCTGTATCTCTTATCACAGCAGCCTTCTCACAAAGTTACTGCAGCAGATTTTTCTTGTATAAAGACTGGGCTGTTAATAGAGACCCCGACAATGCTGAGCCAAGAATTTTCCAGGAAACCACTTTCCGCGCAGCTCAAACTGTGTGTTTTCCAAGCTTCATTTCTCATTTACTATATTATTTTAAAGGGAGATGAGAGGATGCAAACTCAAGAGTGACCCACTGCAAAGGCAAGGACTAAAAATAGTTCTCTACTTACACAAATGACTTTTCTCCAGTATGAATTAGGGCGTGACGACTGAGATGGTAGTCCCTGACGAAGGCCTTGCCACACCCTTCATAGTCACAAACAAATGGTCTCTAGCAGGAAGAAAGGAAAAAACATGTCAATCCTGCACTAGTTAGTAACTCTGGTATTATTTAAAAGCCTAAAATGTATAGTAAGCAAAGCCACTGACTCCCTCTCCAGAGATGGTTTCCACTCAGTAAGTGTGTCAAGTACCAGGTATACCAAGGCAAGACACAGCTTTCCTGCATGAAGTTACACAACATAGTGCTACTTCTCACAAAATCATTGCAGCAGATTTTGGTTCTCTGAGTGGCATCCAAAATAGGCAGGCAGCCTTCACAGTAACGGCACAGCATTGTTAACCTGCTCCTAACCTGGCCACCAGGCTTCAATAGCAACCCCCTCTTAAAGATTACTTTGCTGTTAGCATGGCCTGTCTGCACAGATCTCCACCACAGCATGATTTAACCCCTTTAAAGAAAGCCTAAGGCAGAGGAACAAACAGGTTCTGTCTCATCTTGGACAAGCCCAGTGTTTATGCTAAGAGAATGCCAGGCACAGCTAGGGGAAAATGTGTCACACCTAAAAAAGCTCACAGGTGCCAGAGCGAAACAAAGAAAACAGCTCACAGTCCTAATTGCAACCATCATTGGGGACCCAGGAGTTGGGAGGGGAGACTCCTTTCTAGACCTATAGGAAAAAAGCCAAAATACATCCCCCAAATAACCAGTTTTGCATATATAACTGTGGAACGCATACCACCATGATGTCTAGGAGGGGGAGTACCAAGACCACAGAATGAGCAGCAGGAGCAGAGCACGTGGACAGGAAGACACAGGTGAGCTGTATTACTAGGGGCAGAACCCTGCACAGCTCCAGTCATAGAGTAGGCTCCATAAATATTTACCAAATTAATCATGTGAGATTTGGGACAATAAAGATGACTCCAAGTTTTCCAACCTGTATGAAGGAAACTGGTAGTGCCAATAGCCAAAATACAGCACACAGGTCTAAAAGGAAAGGCAGTCTCTAATTTGGACATACTGGTATAGAGTTTTGAATCTGGGGGATCGAATGGGCGCAAGAGACAGGGAGGCAGGGTATAAAGGATGTTATGAGTGAAGCCAGTGGCTGGGTAAGACTGCAGAGAGAGCTGGGCAGGTGGATAACGCACAGGGCAGAAGAGGAGCCAGCGAGTGAAACGGGCCAATGAGGAGGAGAGATCCCAAGGAGGAAGCAGCGCTCTTCCAATGCTAAAGGGGGAAGAAGAATAGAGACCAGGAGGATGCCAGGAGGTGGCGGCCCATAAGTTAGGGTAGGTGCAAGGAACAAAGGCAGGGACGGCAGAAATGAAGGCAGTGTGAAGCCTGGCTCTGCCAAAAACTGGAAATTGGGCCAATTCCTAGGCCTCCAGGACTCTGACTTTCCTCCCCTGTAACATGGGTTGCCACATCACATCACATTCTCTGACATCCTCCAAAGGCTTCCACTACCCTCAAAATAGAACCCAGACGCCAGCCCAGCCAACTTCTCCTATCTCATTTTGTAGGATTCCCCACCTAATTACACCGGCCTGCCTTACCCCAGGACTATAGCTCCCTCTGCAGTTCTCTCTGCCCGACTAAGCGCCTGCTGGCTGGATCCTTCCTTCTCAGTCAGCTCACAAGAGAGGGGCCTTTGCTGACCACCCTCCAGCAGCCCTCTCTTTACTGCATCTCACTCCTGCCTATCCCTTGGTCGGCCTGCTAGTGAAAACATCAGCGCCGTGGCAACAGAAGCCTGGCCCGTTTTGTTCACTGCTCTCTCTGGTCCTGAGTTATGAAAGAATGAAGGCCTGCTGCTGGCACGACGCCGGTACACGGAATTTGTCCTCTGCACCAGCTCCCGGAGGCCGGGCCTTAGGGCAGGTGTTTGGTGGTGGAGGGCGGTCAAACCCGCGGGTTCACCAATCATGGGAGGTGCCTGACTGGCCGAGACTCAAGAGTCAAGGGGAAGGGGTGCTTAGTAAGCCCCGAGCCCGTGGCACGGATATCACGGTGCCAGAACGAAGGTCCTAAACTTCTTGTCCACTTCCTCGCTCCTTCCCTAAGTCCAGGGTGCCGGAGCGGGACACGCCTCGCACGCCGGGCACGACAGCAGTGGCTGCCCCAATGTTCTTTACCTCCTGCTGCTGCAAGCCCCAGGACAGTGGTTCCTAAACTAGTCTGCTGGCTGGAATCACGTGGAGATCATTTCAAACTTCCAAAGCCCAGAGCAAACCTGGACCAATCAAATCACAATTTCTGAGGGTGGGAAACGGCATCAGTATTTTTGGAAACTCCCCAGCTCATTCCAATGTGCGGAAAAGCTTGGGAACCACTGCGTAGGGCCTTGCTGCTCAAAGAGGTCTGTGCACCGTCATTAAATTGGAAACTTAGACCTACTTGAGTCAGATCTCCGGGTGATTTGATGTATATTAAAATTGGAGAAGCACTGTTGAGAGGCTTGGATCAACAGGGGATAGCTTGGTTTAGAGGACCACATGTCCTCTAAGTAAGTCCTTGAATGAAGATAACAGTGACAGGATGGACTGATGTCCCGCCAGACACATGTTTTTCACATCCTGCATCATTCCAGATCATTAAGTGAGCTCCTGTCTGAATCCAATAAACAGGTCCCTGCACAGAAGTGCAGTTTTAAAAAAACAAGCTAGAGCGGAAGGGTCCTGAGCCTCAGCCTCCTCTTGAACGTAGGAAAGATGATAATGCCTGCCTCGTAGGGGTCTCATGAGAACAGGACTGTGAGACGGTGTCTGACCTTCCACTTTCCTCATTTGCTGCTTCCGCCTCTCTCCAAGGAAGAAGTCCATACACATCCCTCCTACAACTCCAGAAGCCTGGAGAGTTTCCGTTGTGCTGGTCTGGCTTTCTGCTTCCCGTGCCTCGTGGCCTGGTGAATCTCTGAGCTCCTCCTCTCTCTTGGCCTCCTGACCCCACACCGTGCACCCATGGCTTTCCTGCTGCATCCTAACTTCTCCTGTCTCCTTGGCCACTTCTTCCACCTGCTTACCTTAGTACCCATGTGGTTGTGCTCAGCCCTCTGTGGGGTTATACTGTAGTGGGAGAGTATTATAGTGGAAGAGCGCTGGCTTTCAGCCTCAGTCACCTGACTTTGGATTCTAACTTAATTTACTGTGAGACTTTGAATAAAGTTCTTTGAATCTCTTTTCTTACCTTTAAACTTGGACTGTTAATACCCACCTGTTAGAGTCATTTTTTAGGATTAAACGAGATTATATTAACCAATGGTTCTATTTATTACGTTCTATCCCCTGTGCCAGGCACTGTTACCACCAACCTTCAGTTCTCCCAGCAACTCTCCGTGTAAAGCAGCTAATAGGATCCAGGCCATGCTATACACTCAACAAATGTTGGTCTTTTTCTTCTTTCTCATTTTTCTCCATGAACTGATCCATAGATTTACCTCTTTTTCCTCTGCAGTTTACTCCCCAATGTGTTTTTCCAGTGTCCCACATTTCTAAATAACAAGTGTTTTTTTTTTTCCACTTGAAGGTTAAGCAGTCACCTCAAACTCAGCATTATTTGTAGGTCAAACACTCACCATTTCTGTATGTCTACACTTCCTTCTTCCTTCTTTCTCCCTGTCAATAGTGGTATAATTCTGTCTCCAGCCATGAAAACTTGGAACAGTTGTTGTCAACAGCTTTTGGAAATGATGATGCCTGGGTCCCCACCCACCCCAGCAAAATGAGTCCCTGATTTAGGGTTGAAAACCATTGACAGTATCACCTGCTCCTTTCTCTGCCCTTACCTAGGTGGCTTCTGTACCTGTCTTGTCCATTCTCCTCTCTCCCCACCTGTCAGGCTCTTCTTTACTCTGGGCCTTGACACCTGTACAGCCTGTGACAGGTTTTCCTGCCTTTAATCTCACCTGCCTTTAATCTCTCCTGCATGTAGCCTCCTGCAGCTCCCTAGAACACCTGAGACTTTATAGGTTTAAGTTTGCAATACTGGTTTTTGCAAAGCATTTTTGTTCTTCTTAGCTATTATTTCTGCAATTCAAGTAACAGTGCTCAGGTGGGAAACGGGCCCTGGGCGCAGGCCCCTTCCTACACTCGGCACAATTTCAGGCCCAGATCAAGTCCCAATTCCTCTAGATAAATCTCACCTGATGGCTGCCCCATCCACATTTTCTGCCTGTGAACTTTGTGGCCCTTTCTTTCTGTAGCACTGAGTAGACAGTCTTCAAATGTGTTGGGCTATTTTTAACTATTCGGGCATATAATTTCTTATTGCCCCAATCTTGATTTCATCTGCATAAGGGTAGGGACTGGAGAATATTTTTTCAAATCCTCAGTAGCAAGGTGACTTGTGTACATGAGGGGGCAAACCTTATTTATTGTTTGTTAGTTGAAATGAACATAACCATGAATCCATTGTGTGAAATCTTAAAGGATTTTCATGAATATCTTCATCAAGAAATGTTTCACGTGCAAGAAACATAACCCCACTCAAACTAAGGAAAAGGGATATATTGTAAGAATGCAAGGGGACCTCACTGAGACAAGTGTAGAGAGGCCTTGGGGTGGGAGAGTTGTCTGCAGATGGTCCGTTTCTCAGTCTGTCACTGTTGGGATCTACTGTCGATCTACTGTCCTTAGCCTGGCTCCTCATGTGCTCTCCAGGCATCTCTTAGATTTCTGCATTCACGTCCTAGGTGCGTGCGTGTGCGTGCGTGTGCATGTGTGTGGGCATGTGTGTGTGTGTGTGTGTGTGTGTGTGTGTGTGTGTGTGCGCGCGCGCG